AGATGGTGTTTTTGTGTTCAATCACAGTATGTATTTACCATTTTATACCCCTTGTGTTTTTGGGTCCTGTTGAAATAAAATAGTCATGTTTTAAAACGATAGTTACGTATGTAACTACGGTTCTATGAATACTGGATGACCGCCAGAGGCCGTGCTTTAGCACTGGATATCTTCTGTCTCGCGTATGCGCAGGTTGAATATTTATATCAACAAAGTCACGTGTGACCTTGTATGACCCCGGAAGCTATAAGTTCCGGTGCTGTCAACGAGTTCAGTCCTATGGAATCTTCTCGTAGAAACACGAAATTCCGAGTGACCAAGAAACTCTGGCGGTCATCCAGTATTCATAGAACCGTAGTTACATACGTAACTATCGTTCTATTTCATCCTTACTGACCGCCAGAGGCGGTGCTTTAGCACTGAATGACCTATACCAACAGAGTCACGAGGAAGTCTGAATACTCACCCTATAAGGATGGCCTAGGCGGACTCTGCAGGAGGACCACACCCAGCGGGTGAGGGGCGGCAACATTCACGCTGTAGTATCTGGCGAATGTGCTCGGAGATGCCCATGTGGCCGCAGCACATATGTCCTCCAGGGGCACACCTCTCAAGGTCGCCCATGACGTGGAGACACTTCTGGTAGAGTGGCACTTTACTCTGGGTGGCAAGGGATGGTCATTCGACCTGTATGCCTGGGCAATGACGTCCACGATCCAGTGGGATAAGCGGCTGCTTTGAAGAGAGCACAGCCCTTCTACGACCCCGTCAGACACAGACGAGCTTTTCAGACTGACGTCATGTCCTGCGGTAGTCTGGACATACAGCTCTAACGCCGCACCGGGCATAAGAGTGACTTGACTCTCTTCCCTCTCCTGATGTGGGGCGTCAAACCATGCCCACTTGATAGGCCGCTTAAAATGAGAGCGTCGCCATGCAGCCGTCATCCTGCCCCCTCCGAGGATCCATGACTGAGGTACACCGGAGCCGGCCCGAAGCATGGGCACTGGGCCCTCCTCTCTAACTCATTAAAATGAAGTGGCTGAAGCTGCCATCGAACACATCGTCATCTGGTACCAGCTCAGCATGGGTGGATGGGTGGCCGCGGCATGCTGCCTGTACGGGCCCACAGAATGGAGAGCCGGAGGAGTGCTTCTCTTGGGCTACCGCTCAGTGTGAGGCGGTCCCATCCCTGGGGACACAGCCTATCAGGCTTAGTCTCNCGTCGGGACTTCCTGCAACAACACCACGCCGTTATCTTGATTCTGATTGGCCAGAAGACATTATCAAAGATGTTCTATTGAGAAGATGATCACTACGTGACAAAAGTTTTCAAAACCGTTTCTAGTCTTCGGTATTTCCAGACAAGCGGCTACTGAAATCAATCTTACTAACTGCTGTCTGCAATTTACTCGGTGCGAGTTGGCAGACTTTATTTTGCCTACTTTAACATCATTTTTCATGGTGGGGCTAAGCCATTTCTTTGTATGGGTGTAGCCTACCCCAGCCATACCCTGGCGCTGCCACTGGTGGGATGTATGGGGCGGGCCATTCTGCACATGCGTTAAATGCGTTAAATATATTAATGCAATTAATTCAAAAAATTAATTACCGCCGTTAACGCGATAATTTTGACAGCATTAATTTAAACTAATGTGTTTAAGGTAAGTGTCATTGTGCTCAACACATTTAAATATACATTTCTTTTATATGTCACTCAGCTAAATTGTTCAGTGTGTATATGTTATAGTAGAGTAGACATAATCTAATACTAGCAAAGTTGCAGTGCTTAAAGGTGCTTAAAGGGACTCAAGATAACACAAAGGGTACATTGGTAAAATATAAACAGGATAATTTAAGAGAAATAAGACAACATTACCTTATGTATTCTTCATTGTAAATTAGATTTATTGAGTTAACGAACTCAGGGCCCTTCCCTGATTAAACTAGAGAATAACTGGGCTACATGACACTAATGCAAATGCTTTTCTTCTCAAAGATTATAGGAAGAACAACTCACCCACACATTCACAGGATGGAAGATCAGCAAGTTTTTTGGAAGGTGTATTTAGCAAGTTCTTGGTAGGGGTATCTAAAAAACTCATAGGAGACTCCAGGAAGCTGTTGACGTTATTCTTGGAAGGAGTTGTTTCTTCAGACTGGCTCTGAACCCCGTCAGTACTAGTGGACAGGATAGTGACAGGTCCTGCCCTCTCCAGCTTGTAGTAGCCCTGTTGGCTCGGAGGAGGGGACTGCCGGCCCCCCGAGAAGCCATTGGATAGTCCATGGTTTCCAGATGAGTTGCTCAGGAAAGGGTTATTGGCAGCGCTGGTGTTCGGATCAGCACCGTGATGCACTCCCTGAGAAAACAAATGCCTTTCATAGTCCAGCCCAGCATGACCGTTGCATGGATTGTGTTGGTGGAGTGGACCGTTAGAAAGTGACCATGGGTGGTGTTCTGGACCGGTGTTGTTAACCCTTGTGAGAGGGCTGTAGTTGTGAGTCTGCAGCCCGAGGTGGGCTGCACTGTGTGTGTTACTGTGATGGATGAGTTGCCTCCTTTCCTCCTGAGCCTCAGCCAAGTATCTGTTCAGGTCGATTTGAGCCTGAGGCAGAAACAGGTTCCTCTTGTGGTGAAGGACTGGTTTCCCCTGAATCTTCTGGCCTCTCCCCCTAGAAGTCTCTCCATTTGGCGTGCGTTTTGAGAGGGGGGTCCGGCAGTTGATTCCCTCATTAGGCCCATCATTTTTTTTCTTCCTGGGCTTGGAAGGCGTTGCTCTTGTTTTTTTCACGGGGGTCTTTTTCTGACTGGGGGATATCTGGGAGTTGTAGTTGTATTTGATGGCTGACACAGGTGTTCCTTTCTGAGGGTTTTTCTCCGAGTGCTGGTTGTGTCGAGACTGGATGATGAAGGCCAGGTCTGCCAGCTGAGCTGCCACCTCCTCTTCCTCCTCTCTGTTCCTCCTCGCTTTACCAACAACTCTTTCTCTGTCCTCCGCGAACAATCGCTCATGATCTTTACTGACTCTCATGTCATTGGGATATTTATAGCTGCATTCCGACTTGATGACATGAGAACCAAAGCCCGGCTCTGTCTTCCTACAGGGTGCTTTATCTCTGTCTGAGCTAGCTTCTAAGAGATCGTGCAGATACAGCTTCGCGTTAGACCCCTGGGAGCACTGGATGACGTTTCCTTGTCTGGCCACAGGAGGGCGTATGACTGATGTCTGGTGCAGTGGCGAGCTGATGACCGACACTTTGTTGTAGCGAATAGCTGGTGTGTGTTTGACGTCTTGCAGGGTTGTATTTGTGTTGGAAGTGCTATGTTCACACACACGTTCAGTTTTAATGGACCCTGCGGGGCTCTGAGGTATAGCTGCCAGTTGAGTCAAGGCCTCAATAGCAATAGCCTGATCAAAACTAAGATTTCTTCTCTCTGCCAAAGACTGCACGCTCTGTTGCAAGACACCTTGAGTAGGTTCACTTTTAATGTATTGCGGATTCCTTTGCAGGCAAACAGGAGTGCTTTTCTGAAACAAGTCATTCTGTAAGTCCTCTGGCTCTTTTTTGAGAAAGTACAAATCTGGTCGCTCTGTTTTGATGGAGCAAAGAATGGAGGACCGTGAGCTGAAAAGTTTCTCCTCCAGTCCTTTTCTCTCTGTGACAGAAAGACACACCACGGCCGCCAGCGTGGACAGCGGGTCTTCGCAGACCTCGTCTTCATCGCTCAGCTGTTTGGTGGGCTGTTCAGGGATCCACATCCACGGGTCTTCTAGTTTGATCTTCTTTAGTGGAACTGACATGTTGTCCGGAGAAGTCTTGGGTTCATTCTTAGGGCAGTCTTTAGGAGTTGTAGCAATTATAGTCCTTTGAGGCTCTGATGCATTAGTAGTCCATTTGAAAGCAGACTTCAGGTCAGAGTGTGACCCAGTGGTCATATTAGCACCGTTAGGTTTTGTCAGGTTCTCAGCAGAACCATTCTGAAAATTCACAGAAGAGCATACATGCTGGTGAGGTGCATTGCTGGTCAGCTCCAGCCCGGACTCTCTTTTGACAACTGATGATGGCTGTCCGCCTTGGTCCGAGGCCGGTTTGTGGGTGATGGTGGGAGCTTGTGTATGAGGTATGTGGCCTTCCTCCCCTTCATCCTCCTCTGCTTCCGTGTTGGTGTCTTCCATCTGCGCTTTGGCTTTGCCATTTACCGACCCACTTTCTGGAACCACCTGAGACAGAGAGAGAGAAACAAGAGGAGAGAGGTGACTCAACAAGTTCTGGCAGTATACAGTGATTCAGCTTGTTCTAAACAGTCACGCCACACAGCACAACAGATTGCCTCCCAGCATGGCATGAGCATCTGCTGCAGCCACTACCGAGGCGGTGGAAAATATTATGACATGTGAAAACAAAGAATCTGCTTTCTATAAATCTTGCTGAAACTGATCTCTCAACAGAAATAATACAAAAGTGAAGCTGTGTTAGTCACAGTCGAGGCCTCAAACAGGGAAACATGTACACACTTTGCTGAGTGTAAAGCGCTGTGGATCCACAGGTAGCCGAGTGCCAACAAGTAAACAGTCACGCACAGTTCATGATTACATCACTAGGATCACTGAGGGCATTTGTAGGTGTGTTCCCGGGCTTGTATGCAAGCACATGTGATTATTAACACAGCATCCCGACCATGTTAACCCCTGTGCATTGTTCAGTGAGTGATTAACCCACTCAGGGTCTAATCCAGACACAGCACAGCTTGACCCTTTGGCTAAGACGGATTCTGACTGCCAGCAAAGCCACGAATATCCAAAGGTCCACAGTATTGACATTTTTATTACCTCCATGAAGAAGTGGAAACTTAATATTTTAAACTTTCGTAATTGCAGACAATTATAGACATAACTCCATAAGATCAATTGATTTAGGAAAAAGTAGAAGCTAAGGCAGTTTACAAAGTACACATGTTATGGTGTATTATGTATTTATGTTTGTATGTAGTCATGTGAGGCTCTGTATGGACTTTTTCCTTGAAAATAGACAATAAAGATTCTATCTAAATTAAGGAGCACAAAACAAACCTGATAACAATCTAGCCAAGATAGTGTTTCTACAACTAAATATACAAATGTGCTTTTCATCATCTTGAGTGAGCATATAATCAACAGAAGTCAAATAAAGCTACTTTTTATTTGAGGACTTAACCTCACATCAAATTGAGAACTAAAGCCTTCAGCATTAGAAGACTGATTAGAAATGTTGCAGCGTGACAAAGATACAAAAAAAAAGACATCATGTGCCAAGACTCAACTCACAAAAGGCTCTTAAAATTAGATGCTGGAGAATATACAGTACACTCTAAAAAGTCATTCAGGGGACCTTTTACCACCACTTAATTAAATGCATGGTTGCAAGATACACATTTGAATTAATTGATTTAGATAAACATTTTAAGTTGCAAACATTAATTTATAAGTTGTGTTGACGTAATAATGTTGGTAATTACATCAACTTAATATTGTGTGTAATTTAAACTCGGATTTCTGCGTTAATTGACTTAAAACTAAATTCAAGTTGTAGTAAGTAACGCAATTGGCTTGATAACTTCATTGTTCTACACCTTCACTTAAGGATTTCAAGTCCACTCCCACTTAACATGCCTGGACAAGTTCCGACAGTTAAGACAAATAGAAATATACAAAGGACATTTTAAGGTGAGTGTCATCTTTTGT